GATTTGAGCTCTGAGTTTTGCCTTTGCTTAAAGCTTTTTTCTTTTTTTTTGCAACGCTTTCGTCTTGCGCCTGTTGTTGTTGTGATTGTTGTTGTTGTTGTTGTGGTAGGCCTGACTGTTGTTGCTTATCCTGTGTGTCGTTGAACTCAAAACCGGTGCAAAGGAATATATATGTAATACCTGCAACTACTCGCTACCTCTGTACCTCGATGCATGGCGCCCCTGTTTGGTAGCGAGCTCGGTAATTCTCTGCACTTGACTTTGGCGAAAACGGGGGGCAAGGCAGGACATACACTCTGCAAAATAAACTGCCCTAAATGGTTGTAAATGGTCCAACAAATGTAAAGGTGTTCTAGTTTTAGAAGTAAATTCTAAATATTAGAAACTAAATTTATAATATTCAAAATAGGGCGATGTTTTTGAATTTTTTGGAAATATTTTCTGGTCACAAATGTATTATTAAAAAGCAGAAAATGCAATTTTTAGTAAAAATGAAACATTTTTTTCTACATTTTTCGAAAAATGCACCCTAAAATATAAAAATGAAAAATCTTTGGCAAGTTACTAGTTTTAGGTGTATTTTGTCTCTGAGTGTAGCTATGACAACTTTTGCTGAAGCCTGCAAGGGCGCACCGAGGAGCCCTTAAGCTTAAGCATAAAAACCGAATAAGCGGAACACACAAAAGGGCCAAGTGAACTGGGCTTAAGAAATGTAAACAAGCTAAAAACTAAATGCAGCGATGCCAAGTTGTTTGTCTAGGTTTGTCATGGCAACCCTTTTTGCAATACTGCAACACACACACACACAAACACACACACACACACACACACACACAAGCACACACATTTTTTGCACATAAAAAACTCTATTGAAATTCACCGGGCACTTTTGGCATTTCTGGTAGCCAATACCATAAATTGTGAGCATGTGTAAATATTTCAGTAGTTAGGCAAGAGGGGGGAGAGGAGACTGTAATATGTCCCATAAATTCATTTGAATAGCCTATGATTCCAATATTTCGTTTGCTTTAGACTCAAATATATGTTACATACAAAGTATGCACACATCCGAATGCAGTTAAAAATGGAAATTTTAAAATGAATGCATTTCAAAATCAATATTTTTTTTTTGGGAATTGAATGAGTTTTGCATTTTCACTAGAACCGCTTCTATTACAATGCAGACACACACAATATATATATATATATATATATATATATATATATATATATATATATATAGATATATTGTAACCGCTGGGGAATTCGTGCTTTAGTGCACATATCACGATAAAAGTTGAGTCAGGGAACGTTCCTCACCAATAATATTTCATAATTTCGTAGTTTCGATTGCAGCAGCAGCAGTGCATAATAATCTTCGTGCGGAGAGTCTATCTAAAGACTCAAATACACTCAGAAAAAATTTAACTACAACTTCGAAAATATAAAAAATATAAATTAAGAAAATAGTTAGGAAACTTACCTTCCCGACTGCTTTATTAGAGTTTAGCTACTTTTTGTATTTATATTTTGTTATAAATTATGTAAAATATATTTTTGTATGTTTCACCTAAAAGTACAAATATATTTTTATTAAGCATTTGTATATTAAGATTTTGCAAACACAAAATATATTTTACATAGTTAATAGTTTAGTGTTTTTAGAAAACTACAAACATACATTTTAGAAATTAACTTGCTGAATAATTCTAAAATTGCTCAAATCCATTTCTATTATTTTTTCCAAGTGTACTCTATCTGAAGAAGAGACACAGCATATACTATATATATATATATATTTATACATATATGGTCAGTTAGAATCATTGGTTGTCGCCTCGGGACAGACCATCGTCCTCATCGGTTTGCCGACATGTAAAGTGATGCGTAAACAATATTCTGACGCATCATTAAAACGCCTGAGAGGCGCATCCATCGATCCATCTTCTTGTTCAGCTGGGAATCATCTCCGATTCAGTGTGTGTGTAAATGTATATATATATTTTTTATTAGCGCAAAACGAACATGATTATGATGACGCATCGCGACGCATGAGAGGCAGCCCAGTTCGCAGTTCCCCAGTTTCCCAATCCCTGTCCTACCTCAACAGCAGCAAAAAAAAAACAACTAATTCAATTTTGCTCGCTTGAAATTGGATTGGGATTGGGATTGGGAGCGGGACTGGGTCTGGGTCTGGAACTGGGATCGGGTTAGTCGTCTGGGTTCGCCATGTGCACCTTCACGCGCAGCAAAGCAGAGTTCAATTGCCTTGGATACGCGTTTCCCCACGCGTTTCCCCACTGCCCCTTTGGGACATGCAACGAACGATCAACGTTGTAGCTTGCTGCTTGTTTATGCTGATCTCTGCAATGAGATATAATGCCGGCCGGCCGGCTTGCCTCAAGACGACAAAAAACAAAAACATAAACACAAAAATAACAACAACGGCAACAATCAACTAGTTATGGCAGCAGCAGCAGCAGCAACAGCAGCAGCAGCAGCACCTGACCTGGCATGCACATTGCCAGCTTTGTACTCCAGAGACGATGACGACGTCGACTCGGTTCTGCCTCAACACAAAAAGAATTGTGCATAAATTTAAGCAAGGGCTGCTCAAGCTCTTTTTACTTATTTTGATATGTATTAATTAAATAAAAAATGCTTCAAATAATGAGCAACGACAAGTGATGAGCAAATGAGTTATTATTTATTTATTTACTTATTTATTTATTATTTTTTTTTTTATAAATTTTCTATATGTATTTATTTATTATTTGATATTTATTTATTTAATATTTAGTTTATCAAAGTCTACAACAAATTTGGCAAACTTATAAAGCTGCTCTCAAAAGTCCCCAATATTACATATATATATATTTATGTTTACTTATGTGGAAACATTATGCGACTATGGACCATTGTGTGTGATCAACAACAAAGCTCATTATCAGCATTTGGGCCACATCATTATCATGCTGCGTTTGTGATTGTTGTCGCAGCAACAGCAGCAGAAACAACAACAACATTTATAAGTCGTGAGGCGACAGATGCAGCGCAGCCTCACAAAAAAATTGCACTGAAAAAATTAAAGTTTTTTCTTATTTTTTTATATAATATCTAAGTAAAAATATGTTGATATTTTCTATTTTTTATAAATATTTTCTATTATCAGGAAATTCATTTTTCAAAAGTATAAATGCAGAAAAAAACTCTGTTTTAAAGAAATATACTTTCTGAAGAATAACCTTGGCGAATTTCTAAAATTCTCGTCGATTTGTTTTTTGTGAGTGTAAGTTCTGCTTGCCAAAGCAGCTCACGTATGACAGACCAAGAGAGACCAAAAGAGAGCAGGAGAGAGAGGGAGAGAGAGAGAGAGAGAGAGAGAGACAGAGAGAGAGAAAGAGAGAGAGAAAGAGGCGGAGAGAGAGGCAGCAACAGCAGCACTGACCTGGACAAGTGACCAAAGTGAGGGAAACTGAGGAAAAGTGAGCAAAATGACGAAGCAGATCCTCAACGACCACAGCCACATCCACATCCACATCAACATCAGCGTTGAGTTGACTTGAGTAAATCAACAAATATTATGCATACAGCTGATTCTGATTGGATGTTTTCGTATTTTTGTGTGTGTGGGTGTGTGGGTGAGTGGGTGTGTTGTGGGGTAAGAAGCAGGGGTCGTTGCGCTGAACTCCATGCGTGGATATTAATAACCGGCCTCGACCCCAAGCGAATGGCAACCAACGTCAATGAACGTGCCCAAGTAATAAAGAAATCTTCAATGTTGGCGGGGGCGCAAGCTCTTTGCGGATGCCTGCGGACAGTACTGTTGCAGGGGGGCGGCGAGTGAAGGGAGGGGCACTACACTCTGATACAAAATTGAGCTGCATTTTCTAAAATTCGCTGTACTTTTGAGGGGCTGCCAGGGGCTGCTTGCCATATCATTCAAAAAGTACACTTGTAAATTGCATAGTTGTTGCGTTTTAAAAACAGGAATTTGCATTTCTGATTTTCCGGTTGGATTTTGTAGGGTGTTGTTTTTCTACGAGTGTGGATTTTGAAGATTTTAAAATTTCACATAAACAAATATTCTAGATAGCTTAAGAAATGCATAGAATTTAATCTAAAGGGTAAAAACGCCATATTTTTAAAAACATGAAGAACTTTCTAGTTTTCAGTATAATTTTTTGCCCAGTGTAGGTGGAGGCGCGTATGGATGGGAGCAGAGCTGGCTTCTCGGAATGAAGCAGAAAGCCAAGAAATTGGCAAGCGCGTTCAAGAGGCGCATAAATTACGGCTCAACTCGCTGCTCGCTGCTGCTTTTGCCCCCAACTGGGGCCAGACTCTTGTTGATGTTGTTGTTGCCTTTGTTGTTGTTGTTTGGCAGGAAATGCATTGCTACCGCATCGTCACATCGTTGACATTGCTAAAGCTTTTTCGAGACACACACACACACACATATATATAGCTGCCACACCCATTTTCCACATTCGCAGCAGCCAGCAAAAATGTTTGCTTAATTTTTTAATTGTCGTTGCGGCAATTTGCCCTTTTTGTATTGTTTTGCTGACATCGAAGTTGGTAATTAAAAATGCGTAACGCGGATTTCTTCTTCTTCTTCTTCATGTACATTAAGTGCTTGTTTTTGTTGTTGTTGCAGTTCTTTTTGCTGCTGATGTGTCGGTCGCCTGCTGCTTTGATCGTGCCACCAACAGCTGGTGGCAAGTCTAGAGTGGAGTCGAGTCCTGGTTTCCTGTCTCAACATAGGCCAGTTAGAACGGTAAAAAACTGCAGTTTCAGCTTAAAGACTTTAAAGTTAGTAATTTTGAAGAAGCTACAAGGAAGAGGACGTGGAGGAATCTTCTGAACACAGTTAGCAGAATTAAAGCCAACTAACTAGCTCCTGCTAGCAACAATACATTGAGAAGTATCCAAATCACCATTTGACAACCGTCTTGTTTAATCTAACCCAACACAAGCCATTATTTGATCTTAAGACTTACCGCTTCATAGATGAGCCCAACACAATTTGTCAAACTGAATAAATGCGCAGAACTCACCTGAAAAGAAAAAAGATAAAAAATAAATGTTAAAAATATTTAATAAGTCATAGATAGATAGACTATAGACTATAGATATATATGCTTGTGGTTTTGGGATAAATTTAATGCACCCGGTTTGGCATAATTGTAATAATTATTTTCAGATGCATCGAAATATTTGTTAATTCTAACTAATATTTTGCAAAATTAGTTGCATGGAATGTTGACTTGTTTTTGCTGATTTTTAAATAGAACTTGTGAAACGAGACAATCCAACACCAGCTAATAATGAAGAAGGGTGTTTAACTTAATTTTTATTGCGATTTAAAGATTTATTAATAAAACTATTTTATAAAAAATCGATTGTTTTGTATGGAAATAAGACACTCTGAAATATGTCTCTAAATAAAATGCAAAACTAAAATCAAACAGCAGCGACAATTGTTGCTGCTGTTGCTGTTATTGCGATTTAAAGGTACAACTTGTGAACAGAGCCAACCAAAAACCAAATGATAATAATGAAGACGACGCTGGTCAGGTTCTGTAGCAAACGGGAAGGCGCATCCTAAACTGAACCTAGCCCAACATTGTTTTTGTTGCCGCCTTGTTGCTGCTGCTGCTGCTGCTGCTGCTGCTGTTGATGTTGCCGTTGTTTTCTTTCTTTGTCTTTTTGGTTTTTATATCTGCGCCTCAGAATCATGTCGCGGAGCCAGTGAGCAACATGTTTGTGCAACAGCAACAACTTGCGGCGAGTGCTGCGGCACTCGGCACTCGGCACTCGGCAGTGGAGACGACAACGGCGACGGAGCCAAGCCTCTTGCCAGCTGCTTTTTGTGCCACTTCCACAGAGCAATATTGCTGTTGTTGTTATTGTTTGTGCTGCCACTTGCCGTGGACTTGCTCATCAACTGGATTTGCTACACTCAGCAAAATAGTCCGATTACATTTTTGTAAATGCAAAAATATGTCTAATTCGCAGGTCTTTATTTTATTGAAGAATTCTTATATAAGTTTTTTTTTTTTTTTGTTACTTGTATTATTAATAATTACATGAATTGTAAGATTTGACTTTGTACAAACATTTTAAATAGTTTTTAATTTCAGCTAACTATATATAATATAAAACAGCAGCCAAGCTTTGATATAAAAGCCGAGCCAGTAAACTTCCTTATTTGTTTTAAAATTTAATAAATAATTTTTTCTACGACGTTTTTCAGTTTGCTGAGTGTAGCAGATGTGAGTTGCAAGTTGCAAGTTGCTAGCTGCAAGTCCAAAGTCGCTGCTTGTTGCATTTAGTCATCGTGCTGCTGCTTCGCATTTATCATCATCATCATTATCATTGTTATTGTCCGCTTCTTCGTCGTTGTTGTTGTTGTTGTTTGATGTTGTTGTTGCTGCTGTTGTTGGCTGCCCCATTCGCTTCGTCGTTCCACTTCAACACCCGGTTGCATTGCCCATTCCCACAACACACAGAGTGCAGCAGAGTTCGTTCCACTCTCGGGCCTTTTATTTATTTGTTGTTTTTGTTTTTGTTTTCCTTTTTCTTTCTTCCTTTTGCTTGTTTTGATATCATGCATTTTGTTTTGCTATTCATATTTCTTCTGGATTTTGTATTTTGCTCTCTCCTTCGACTTGTGGCTTGTGGCTCTTGGCGGATAATTGCAGAGCGAGACGAGAAACTGGAATTGCACTCGTGACGTCACCGAGGGCATTCACTTTTGTGCCCCGGCAATTGCTGTTACTCTTGCAACATGTTGCTGCTGCTGATGTTACCGCTGCCGCCTAGCCAATCACTTATTGTAATGCATCGAATTTGGTTTCATTTACAATTGGTTTCAGCTCAGCGCTTCAATTCGAAATATACACATCGAAGCACTGAGAAATAAATATTGCCCCGAAATGATAATCGCCATAAATAGAAAGTTTCTCTAGTTTTAGAAGAAATTTCAAAATATTGGTAAACAATTTTACAATTTATTACGCAATAATAGCAGAAATATGATGGATTTTCCTATTTTTTTTTTAAATATTTTCTAAAGGAATGCAATTTACTGGCAATATTTTAGTTCTAGTCAGCGTTAAATCGTAAATTGTTCTAGTTATTATAATATTAATATTAATATTAGTTATAAGAATTCTTCTACATTTACACACATTAAAAACAACACCAACCCACATTGAAATTTAGAAATGGAAGCCCTGGTTTACATTTAAGAAATTCACTTTCACGAAAATGGGATGTCCAACACTTGGCGTCAAAGAAATGCTCATTTACATCTAAAATCTAAAGTGATTTCTTTTTCTGAGTGTAGCAACAGAGCTGGCTAGAAGCAGTGCGCCCATTGTCACGATAAATCAATTGCACTCTTGGCCTCCAGTCCAAGGCAGCTTTCAGCCAACTTGTTTGCGCTCCACGGTAGCCCCAAAAGCCAAACACATGCGAACCCCAGCTTGCCTCCTGCTCAAGTTGTCGTCGTCTTGGCCGTCTTGGTCTTGGTCTTGATCACAGTAGCAACAAGCCTGACTGACACTGACACTTACGTATGTTAATGTTGACAAAAGAGCCAAGACAAAAAAAAATAAAAAATAACAACACAAAATAGCAGCCATGAATAAATTCAGTTGGATTTTCCAACCAAAATACAAGACTACACTCAGACATAAAAATCGCACTGAATTTTAGTAAGTCGCCAAGCTTTTGGTGCCAAACCTAGATTACTCAATTATCCAGAAAATATATTTCTGAAAATCAGAATTTTACTTAACTTAATTTGAGGATGGATGTTTCTAAAACTTCGAAAAAATAGGCACAATTTGTTGATGGTTTTTAAGCAACTTTAACATTAGCTATTTTGTTGTTTATAAACATTTTAGATAGTTTATAGATGCGAATAATTTAGTTTAAGAAGACTTGGAAAATACTTCAAAAATGAAAACTTTAATGATGTAATCAATGTTGATATTAATGGGAATATTATTTGAAGGTATTGATTAGGAAAAAGTTAATTGTTGTTAAAAATTCTAAAATGGGACTAGATCTCACAATGATTTTTTTCTGCGTGTAGTCCCCACATTGGGCTCAAATAAAATACTAGACAATTATTTGGTTTTCTGTTAACATTTTGAAAACATGTTCAACGCTTGACCTTTTTTTATTTATTTTTTTTATTTTAGCAAAGCTCAATTTATGAGCTCAACACATGAGCATAGAACATGCAAAGCGCCATGTCAACAGAGCACACAACACACTCATTGCACACACACAGCACACATGGCACACACACCCCCTTTTGAGCTGGCGTGTCAGCAGTGCAATTATTGTGATTTTTGGTTGAGTTGAGAGTGGAGTTTGTTGAGGAGAGTTTGCCTTCAATAGCATGGCATGGCAACAGCAAATAAAAAATCGAAAAAAGCTCACATTTTCGTTTGAAGTGAAACGTTGTTGCCTCAACTGAATCATTAGGTGCGCCCTGGAGCCATTAATTTCTGCAGCCCGAAAAGTGTTTGCCAATAGACGAGTGAGTGCAAAGAAGAAAAACACAAAAATAAACGCAGCATTTAAGATAAATTTGCGACGATAGCAGAGTCCACAACAGACCAGACCAGGACAGAGAAGACCAAGCCACGTTTGCAACATGGGGCATGGAAGTATAAGGGCCGCATCACCAGCAGCAGCAGCAGAGAATGGCAATCAAGTTCAATGCACAGCAAAACTGGCTAAAAGGATGGCCGAGCAACAACTTATTGGCCATTTCGCTTTGTGGCTAAAAGCCCATTCAATCGCGCAGAAACAGACTGAAACAGACTGAAACAGAGGCCCAAGCAACAATTGCACTTGCAACCAAAACTACACTCAGCAAAAAAATGCATCTAATTTCTAATAGACAACCCCAAAAATCTGTTGTTTTTTATTTTTTACAAATATTTTCTATTATTAAGAAATGAATTTCTAAAAAAAAAACAAACAAATTTTTTCTACATTTTGGAAGAAATTCACACCGATCTTAGGAAATGGTTTTTAAAATATTACAATCATTAATTTGAGATTTTTCTTAATAATAACAAAAATAAAAAGTAAATAAATAAAAGAATTGATTTACTAAAGTTGATGGCGATTTTTTGCTGTGTGTCTGCACAGTCCAAATGAAAGCAAAGATTTGCTTAAATAAAGACTAACTAATGAAAAATACTAGCTCTAAGTTGAGGCTGTCCTTTGATCATACTTATTTTCCTTAATAAGGTGCTGATTATAATTGGAGTTCAATGCTCCATTTGTTTAGGGCCGCCACGCGGCAGTAAATCAGAAAAAAATCAACACATAAAAAAAACTAAACAATCGCCTCATTAATTACAATTAGAAGTGTTTATTGCTGAAGCGCAGCCATAAAACCAGAGTCCCCGAGTCCAGCCAATGTGCGTCATCATCAAAGAAGAGGCTTTAACGATCACAGTGAAAAAAGAAAAAATTACGAGACTGAAGACGACTGGAGTTGACGGGCTTTGACAGGCGACTCCAGTCTCCCAGTTTCCCAGTTTCCCCAGGCTGCAGCAGTAGATGTTGCCACTCGGAGGCATTACTGTAGGATTCATCAATCAACAGCTGTCAACTGCAGCAGCCAACAGTCGTCAGTCGGCAGTCCGAAGTCGACAGCAGTTGACCGGTTTCTGTTTGGTCAGTCTGTCCCGCTGTCCCCCACACTCAGAAAAAACAATCGGCTAAAATTTTAGTAAATCACCTTAAAAATCTACTTTAGAAATATAAAGTATTTCTAGTTTTTCAAAATAATTTCTATAAATATAAATCTTATGTTTCTTATAAATATTTCTTATCTGTTTTATTTAAATTGAATATTCGATTTTATTTGATTTTTAGAAGAAAACAAAATTTACTTGCTGAATAATACAATAATAATATTTACTAAAATTGATTCTTTTCGATGTTTTTCTAAGTGTCGATTGTTTGTCGATGCGGCGCATGCGCAACTGACAACACAATGTTTGCCCCACTGTCTACTCCA